TTTCTTCTCCACCATTGCCACCTGGTGGTCTGTATCACTGAATTGCTTAAAATATTTATGTCTTCCTGCCTACCTTTTGCAAGTACTCTATCTCTTTGTAGATAAACATTGCCACAAAAATTACAACTTTAAAGCAAAGTTGATATATTCCTGAGTTACACAAAAAGAGAGAGAAAATGCAGAACGTTAAATATAAAATTGAAAAAAATGTGCAGTTTAGATCATCTAAATGTTTAAAATACAGTTTACACTGGTTTAACACTGGAGATTCCCAGGGAGGTGTAGCGAATAGGGTGACAGAGCAGGACTCTGGAGAACAGAGTTCGAATCCCTGCTCAGCCATGGAAACTCACTGGAGGTGTAGAACTGGTAAAAACACTCCTTAAATATCCCACTTAACTTGAAAGCCCTGTTAGAGATTCTGTAAGGTGGTTCTGCCTTGATGGCACAGAAAACACATACTAGTTTAGTGTACAGTATAAGCTGACTAGATAGCTCGGTGGTTCTGGCTACAGAGCCAGGGTTGGGGAGTTCGATTCCCCACTGTGCCTCTTGGCAGAAGAGCCAGCCTGGGTGGCCTTGGGTAAGCTGTGCTGTCTCAGCATAGCCCCAGAAAAGGGGATGGAAAACCACTTCTGACTATTCTATACCTAGAAAACCCAAAAAAGAGGGTAATCATAAGTCAGAACTTACTTCACTTCACGTTGTCATAATCGTCATCATTTAGTAAAGGGAGACCCACTGTTGTGTGATGGGGATTGAATGACCGACTAGGACTCTGGAGATCTGAGTTCAAATCCTCTCTGTGCCATGGACACTCATGGGGGGTGGGGAGTGGAACTAGTAAAGCCATCTTTTAAAATATATCAGTTCCCTTGAAAGCCCTGTTAGGGTCACTCTAAGTTGGTTCCAACTTGATGGCACACCTCCAACTTAGGGTGACCCTATGAATGAGCAATCTCCAAAATGTCCTGTCCCCAACTGCCCTGTTCAGCTAGCTCTTGTAGACTCAAGCCTGTGGCTTCCTCGATGACACATAATAACAACAACACTTTTGCATACAAGCCTGTTTGTTTTTACATGAATGTTTTCATATGATCACTTCACTGAACGGAGGTGTGATCAGGGAAGTGAAGTGATAGCCATGAATAGCTGAATAACAACTAACAGTAGCAACGCACAATTTGAAGCAGAATGCAACCAGGCTGGGCCTGTTCAAATACAAGTGGCATGGATGCCATCATCCTATGCCTGAATGTTGATACTGCTGGCCAATCAACTGGCATGCACCAGGACAGCACTGATCTTAGGAAACTTGGCTTTGTATGTTATCCTGTGACGTTTGTTCAAAATGACAGGCCACTGCTTAGTGACTGCACACTAAGGCAGTCCCGTGTAGAGCGTGTTACAGCCATCCATCTGAGATGTAACAAAGGCACGTGTCACTGTGCTAAGATCAGACCTCTCCAGGAATGGGTGCAGTTGGCACACTCGTTTTCATTGTGCAAACGCACTCTTGGCCACTGCTAAAACCTGGGCATCCAAGGCTGGGAGACAGGTGCAGGAGGGGCACCCCCAAACTGCACGCCTGTGTCTTCAGAAAGAGTGTCACCCCAGCCAGCGCTGGCCTGCACCCCTGGTCCTTCCTCTGTCCTTCAGCTGACCCGGAACACCTCTGTCTTGTCCATCTCTGTCCTTAAAGGTGATTGAACAGGGCTGAGATGGCTCTTTAGGGTCTTGACGCTCATCAGCAGATTTACCTCCAGGTTTCGGAGGTACTTGGATGCACTTCGATGCCTTGGTCCTGCCTGAGTGGCATACTCTCCACGCTACCCTGCCCGCCCCTCCTGCACTTGGAGGACCAGGAGGTACCTCTTGGGCTAAACCCTTCCACCTTTCCTGCCTGTGTGGGCAGGGAGGGGGAAGTCCCAGCCTATCCCTCCCCTCCCCGCTTCATATTCATGACCCATCCCTCCCTCTTCCCCTCCTGCCTCTTGGCTTTTGCTGGATTTGTGGATTTTTTTTCACTCAAGGGCTGTCGGGCCCCCTCTTCTTCTCCAAGCTTGCCTTCAACATGGCTAGCTTTCTAGGGGCTGTGAAATTCTGCCTCCTCCTCCTCCATGCTGTCAGCTTCTCTCTAGCACAATTTGTAAGTGTCTTTCTTTTATATTCTTCTACTGGATAGATGGGGAAGGGAGCCGGGGGGGGGTTGAGTGAGAGCTGTTTGGAAATCTACAGCTCTTCTGGATCCCAGCTGAAGATCTGGTGCAAGCCAATAAGACTGGAATAATATGTAGTTCTCTTAAAAATCTTTCTTTTCCTGGGAAGTCTAAAGTGTAGCACTGTGCCAGAATGTATAGTGATACTTGGGGTGGGTGGATAATAAAATTGAACCTTTTGGTTGAGGGGAGAAAAAAAACTTTTCTTTCACTCGTGCTTTCAGACAGCTTGGAGGGAAAAATTGTACTACTAGAGATATCCCTGGGCTTTAGCTTTGAGAAAATTAGCCTACAGGATTATGGAAGGATCAGATGGTACTTTGAGATTCTCTTTGTGTTATTCATCAAAAGTCATCTGCAACGATTCTGCTATTTCTTCTTGAAATGATCAGTGTATGTTGGTGTAAAGGAACTGATGTGAAAACATGCAGGATTGTTACAAGATAATGATGCTGTTTGGACTCCCTGCTAAAACTTTACAAAAGTGTCAAGCCTTACACGATCAAAACCTCAACTGGAAGGAATCAGAAAAGAATCCTGTCCGTTGCAGAAGTTAATCAAAAGGATTTCCAAAGTCTGAGAGGAAAATCAGCATTTTTACTTATGATATTGACCAGGCTGCTCGAGGGGGGCATCTGAAAGGTTTTTTTTGCGGGGCAGGTGTTAAATATGTATGCCACTTTCGTCTGCCATTAATGGATGGTTGATGTTGCTGGCTACAGCTCAGTGCTATATATATGGCACTGAGCAGCTGGAAAAATGGAGAGCATTGTCTAGAAGTTGGAGAGGCATGGAAAGTCCATATCTGTGGGCATCTGGAATAAAGTCACCTTTGAGACAGTAGTCAGTGGCCTTGCTCCCTCCTGCGTCTTCTGCAGTGAGGTGCTGTTCAGAAAAAGAGCTCGGAATTTGGAAAAGTTGCACCCTGGGATTACAACTCCCAGCTTCCACCAGCCAGCAGAGCCTGGCCAAGCTGGTTTGGATATTCTCGGCATTAAGTCACAGGACCTGAACACAGAGACATATTTGATGAAGGTGTTTTTGGCATACAAAGGGGGCTATTCATTCAATAAACCTTCATTTGTGTCAACCGCTGAGCTGGCATTTTTATAAAATTAGCCCTGTGCTTATATACCCTCCCCCCAAACATATATACCTTTTGCTGGCCACTTTTCCAGATGTCAGAGTAGCTCTTTGAAAGTAAACAGAAGGGGACAAAGAAAGCCTCCAGACATCACACGGCTTTTTTTTGGGGGGGGGGCAACTGGAGTGTTTTATCTTCATTTTGAGGCTCCCAGAGATTTTGATTCTGTCTGATCCTGCACGATCATTCAGTAACTAATAGTAACTGGGGAGTTATAATATTATAACCCTCTTGATCCAAGCACATGCTGAAGTTTTTAGACAAGCCAGCTTCATTTTATCTCAAAGCCCCTCCATGTGTACATAAGGTTTTATTTCCCCTTTATGGCAGTCTACCTTGCATTCTGGTTGCTGTAGATACAGTCTACCCAGGGCTTTGCAGTGTACAGTAGAAAGGAGCAGGTCCTTGCCCCAAGGAGCTTACAGTCCACCTTTCAAAACAGGATGAAAGGAAGGGTCACAAAACGGTTAAGCAGCAAACGGTCTGGCATGTTGTTATAAATATAGAGGAAAGAAGGTATTTTGGGGACTACAACTCCCATAATCCCCCAGCCAGCAAGATGTTAGTCCCCTAACGTCGTGCCTGTCTCTGACCCGATGTAGCTTATTGGGTTGGAGCAAGTGGCTGTGGAGCTAGGAGCTGGAAAATCCCGAATTCTCGCTGTGCCCCATTGGAGGGGTGTGTGTGTGAGTTGAGATCTTCTGGTGCCTATGTGGCCGATGGGGTGACGGGTCCCTTCCACCTGTGTTGCTGCGTGTTAGTGCCTGACCATTACCCAAAGGAGAGGCTAGTAAGCCGCATCTAAAAGACCCTGACTGGGCCAGTTCAAGCTGAGTCAGAGTTGAGAGCACACGCTGAAAAGAATTTGTAAGGCACCTTCACCTTTATAATGTGGTGGAAGTAAAGTCCCTTGAGTCTAGTGGAATAGAAGGAGGCAAGGTAGCATTGCCCACATCCAGGCAATGAAAAGGGCTTTCAAGTTGCGTCCAAACGGTTCATTCATCCACACATTCTTACTTGTCTTTGTCATGCCTTCTTCTATCCACTAACATCAGGGTGGCTTGCACGGGCTAGATAATCCATCTTTATCATTATGAGAACTCTTTGGATGTAGTAAAAACCTTGCGATGGAAGTGGATTGAATGAAAACTCAGCTGCCGGTCTCCTGGATGGGTGGGGGAACCTTTCATTCTCCAGATAGTTTCACCCTTCTTCCCAAAATCCTTAGTCAGCATGGCTAATGCCAAGGGATAAGGGGATCTGTAGTCCACAAGTTTTGGAAAGCCATTGGACTCTGATCTCAGTATGTTAGATACCACTTTGTTTCTCCATCTGTGGTTCCCCTACTTTCAGGCAACGTACTGTACTCTGCAGTGATAAGAACCACGTCCAGAATAATTATTCTGCCTTTTTGTGGCCTCCCATGCCTATCTGATATGCCAGTCTATGCCTCTTAAAAGTCAGTCCTGCTGGCAGGAAAAATGGAGCCACAAATTCCCCACACAGGCCAGGACCGATCTGGTGTTGGGATGTGGTTGTGGGAGAAATGGACGCAGGGTAGCTCGTTGGCTTTGAGTTTTCTGTGTTCTTGCAAAAATAATGTGGCTTCTTTGCTTTTGGTTTCTCTCTTTAGCAAGGTCCACCAGGAGAGCCTGGGCCACGGGGCCCCCCAGGTCCGCCAGGCATACCAGGAGCAGACGGCATTGATGTAGGTACACACCGCTGAGCTCCAGAGCTGGAGCAGGAGAGGGGGAGAGACCGGCTGGGTATAAAGGAAGGCATTGTATGCAGGAGGAGACATGAGATGCTCTTCCGGAGGGCCTAGATGGAGCCCGTGAGTTTGCCAAAACCAAACACTGTTGCTCTATAGGTCGTCGGAGAGCAGGATGCAAATTCTGTGTTCATGTATACTGAGAAATTTGATTGTTGAGGATGTTGCGTCAGCGTGATGTTCTAAGATGGAACGAGGGAGAAAGTCTATGAAATATCTAGTATGGGGGGGGGCAAAGTGGAGTTGTTGGACGGTGAAGTCCATCATTCCCACCTGGGACTGCAAAGTCCCATCATCCCCACCTGCGCAATCGGTGCCGTCAAAGGGAGTCCAGAGACATCCGGAGGGCTGTGTTTTGCTTTCTTCTGCCCTCATGGGTGATGTTTTGGTTCTAGATTGGATCTAGTGCCAAAGCTGGTCCTCCCGTTAGGCTGTTTCTTGGGGGGGGGGTAGAAGATGGAGAGCAGAGAGAGAGGACAAGGGGTCAAAGCTCAGCTCCTGTGACCTCTGTGTGGCACAGCTCTTCTCTCGCTCATCTAGCCTGCTGTCTAGTCCAGCTGGTGATCTCCACGTTGGCTGGGGAAAGGCATCCTATTTCTTTAGGTTCAGGCAACAAGGGCCGAAATCAGGCACAGGGAACTTTTGACAGTTCCCAGCAGAAAGTAATACCAACAGCAGCAAGGGGAAATGATGCTGAGATTTTGTTTTCAAGGGCGGGAAACCAGGAAATCTCACCAGGGCAAGGGGAGTTATCAGCAGGTCAGAATGCTTATGAGGGAAACAACCCTAGACCTTGAGTAAGTCTTCTAGGCAGGAAACCCATTTTTCAGAAAGAGAGGGGATCGGGAAAGGAGGCTAGCCCTTTCTTCCATGACATCGACCATCCCCATAAAAGTTCCCCTCCACCATAATTAGCTTGAAAGAGCTTACATTGGCATCCAACTTCAAGCTCCAGTGCAGTAGGGGAAGAAGAGGGTGAAAATCTCTTATCTCTGATCAGTGATTGGAGATAAGAGTTGAGTTTCCTTTTCAGCAGGAAAGCCCGTGGGTTAAATGGAGACCTCCCATGTATCTGGCCCAAGGGCCACAGATGCTCCATCCTTAATCTGAAGGGACCGGGCGCAGAGATTCGGATCTGCGTTTTCTTTTGTATTGAGGTTGTTGTTTTTTTAAAGCTATAGTGGAGAAGACTATACGTGGGAGGATGAATAACTTAAACTTCGGGATAAAAAGCTATTTAAATAAGTGGGTCAGTCAATAAATGTTGTTATTGTGACCACTGACAACCACTTTTCTCCCCTTTCCACTATAGGGTGATAAAGGCCCACCCGGTGCAGCAGGAAGTCCTGTAAGTATCTCAACCAGCAATGGGACACCATTTGGGGGTTTAGGAGCTGGTAGACTGCAGTGGGTTGGAGTGTCAGGGGCTGAGGGTTCGAATCCCCTCTATGCCTCCTGGGAGAGGGGCCAACTGAGATTTCTCAGAACCTCTGTGGCTGATGGGATTACATGCTCTGCCATCTGCATGGCCTCAGGCAGGCAGCATTGGTCCCAGAGCAGCACCAGGAGGAGGGAACAGCGGGCGACTTTTCCAAATAGAAAAGAAATGTGAGGAATTGACTCTGTGGCACATAATTATTAATAATGAGGAAGAGTCCTAGGTCTCATGGGTTGTGGGGTGGAGATTCTGGCTACTCTCAGAGGATCTTCTTGAGGGCGTTTTAGATGTGCATTTTGGATGGGTGAAGCATGCTTATTTCTTATTTTGGGGTGATTTTGGGGGGAGGCGAGATGGCAGGACGTTAGACTGAGCCTAAATCTTGCCTTTTGCCATGGAGCCATGGGTCAGGGCGAGAAAGAACATGAAGGGACTGAACCCTCTCGGAAGAAGCAGCCATTTTGGACCTCTTAAGACTTGCTGTGTGAGAGAAAAAAACTGTCTTCCTTTTGAGGCTGTACACATTTGTGAGACTTGTGGGTCTTTTAGGGAAGTGAAAAGGACAGGAAATGGTGTGTGCTTTGTAAAAAGTGATCAGCTCAAAGTGCAGATCACCAGGAGAGGAAAAAAAATGGTTCAAAGACACTCTAGCCGGTGGAGAAAAAGGTGCACGTGAGGTAAAATGTGTAAATAAATGGGCTACTAAGGGGGAAAAGGGGGGTTAATAAGTATATCTATGGTAAACGTTTCCCACTCCCCAGCATGTTGCAACTTGGCATGAAACAAGGACAGGAAGAAAATGTGCGTCGAATTTGCAGGAAAAACGGCAGAACTGGGGGAAAAAAAGATACTTCCACCTCAATCTGAAAGCAGAGGCGTCTCCCACTGCTATTTCATGCTACAATTATTACATTTCCCATACTGTTTTCTAGGAACATATTTAATTTTCCCCCCCATTAAAATGTTTCTTTTTCACAGGGGACGAAGGGAGAACCAGGACCTCCCGGCCCAGATGGCCCACCGGGTAAACCTGGGATTGATGTGAGTAGAGAGCAAGTTGACTCCTCTGGTTGAGGGTCACTCCTCTTGTCCTGTTGAAGGTTTCAGACTCCCCACCCTTCAGCCTCGGGGTGGCTGGTGTGTGGGACGGAGGCATGGCTCGGGAGCGCGGCAGCCTCCGTGGATCCATTGGCCCCGTTGATACCTGGACGCTTGTAAATAATGCAAGCAACGAGCTTTGTTCTAAAGGAATCCGCGGAGGTTCCTTTTCTACCACTGACAAACGCGGTGATGTTGAGAAGAAAGGGGGAACCGCCAAGATGGCAGTGGGAAATCTGGAAAAGTGAGCCAGTTAATATCAGCTCATCAGTAACATCCGTTGCTGGAGAGCTCCATGGTTTAGGTCTCTGGTTGGGGAGCCAGAGGTTGGGAGTTTGAGTCCCCCATTGGGCCTCCTTGGCAGGGGCTGGACTAGATGATCCTTGGGGGTCCATTCTGGCTCTGCAGTTCCATGATTATTATTATTCTTGTTATCATCAACGATACTCCAGTCTGTGCCTTGGTCCGAATGACTTGAGGGACCCAAGTGCACACACCCGTTGACTTTCTCCCCAGTCCCCTTCCTTACTATTTTGAACTGCAATTCCCAGACATCCCGGCTGGTGGTGAAGGCTCCTGGGAATTGTAGTCCAAGGTTACGCAAGGTTGGGAACCACTGTTGTAAGGAGACATGTTCCATCAAGACTGTTCTAAGTGTCAGGACAGCTTTGAGAGTAACTTTAGAACTATGGCGCTTATGGGACACATCCCAGATCAAACTAAATGGACATTTGTAAAGCATAATGAGAAATGGAAACGCTCGTGCACAGGTTGCAGGATTGGTTTATCTGAGGGGTTCTGCACCTGTCTCTATAACTTCTACAACTTCAGTAGAAATAAAATGAATAGAAAAGGGGTGAAGCTGTATGGATTTCTCAGTCGCAGAGGTGGGCTCAGCAGAAGATGGGGTTAGCAAGCTACATGGGGAGGGCGTTAAAAATAATATCAAGTGAAAAGCTACTTTTAGGGAATGCAACTCCCATGATCCATTGGCCCTGTGGGAGATGTGGGCCAAAAATTAACTTTTTTCCAAGTTCTGAAAGAAAGAACTTTCCTATTTGTAGAGGTTGATATTTACTATTGCTTTTGCTTTACTAGGTTATGAGCCGTTGGGAGTGCGCTGTGCTGCTCGGCTTGCATTCCCCCCCCCACATGGTGTTTGTGTTTATAAAAGTAACACTCTTTAAAAAACAGACCCACCCATCTCTCCCTTACTTTCACCCCACAGTCAGTGGAATTCATCTCCCAGATTCCCTCCGTGGCCAGATTGGCTGAGGGGCTCCTGGAATTTTAATGCGAAAACAATATCTTCTGGTCTCTATAATTGAGTGTGTTGGGTTGCCTTTCTCTCTGATCCTAATTTTTGCGCACACGCATGCACGCACGCACACACACGCACACACGTTTCCCTCTGTGATTCCTCATGGCTTTGCTACCTCAGTTGACCCTCTGACCCATGGCTGCGTCTACTGTTTGGGCTTTAATGATGCTCCAGCAATCTCCTTTCTTTTACAGGGTTTAACGGGAGCAAAAGGAGAACCCGGTGCTGTTGGAAGGCCTGGCCTTAAAGTGAGCATCCTCATCTTTTTCCTGCCTTATCTTCTCGGCCGACCGAGTTTAAGATTGGTCTGAGGGCATTCTGTAACCGCTGTGCCAACACAGAAGGTTTTGAAGCACAGCTGAGCCTTGAGAAGAGCCTTCCAACACTGAACGGCTTCTCAGTTCTCTCTGAGCTTGTTTTGTACCCCTGTGTTTGTTTGATGTGGGTCTCCTTTTTGGCATTGGAGACACACCTGTCCCCAGGAACACGGCTGGTGTGAATTCACAGACTGACCTGGAGGAGCATCACCTGTGAAGAATGGGCGACTCTAGTCGACATTTTTAGGGAAAGATGCTCTGACAAGTACCCAGGTCCCAAACCTTTCTGTTCTTTTTTTTAATCCTCCCTTTTTTATTCTCGCTTAGTGAGAATATGGCCTGGTTTTCCCTTTCTTCACTTGAATTTTCAGGTTGTAAGATAGGTCAGGATAAAAGAGAGGGTGGATATGCAACTGACAGTCCAGCCAACGTCTGTATGTGGAACAGAGAGAAGGCTACAACTTATTTACTGAAATCCACTAGTAAGTCACAGCTTGAATCATAGGGGTTGGTGATTGACTCCTCTATAAGTTCTAGTTGAGACTTCTGATTTTAGCACAGTATTGGTGATTGACCCCTCTATAAATTCCATGGATTCAGGGGGCTTACTCTAGTTGAGACTTCTGATTTTAGCACAGTGGTTAAACTGCAGTGTTGCAGTCAAGCCTCTACTCACGACCTGAGTTTGATTCTAATGGATTCAGGAAGCCAACACGAGGTTGACTCAGCCTTCCATCCTTTTGAAGTTGGTACAATGACGACCCAGATCACTGGAGGGTGAGGCAAAGTGTAAACCCCCCCAGAGAGTGCTCTAACACCACGAGGCGGTGTACAAGTCAAACAAGAATAGCATCGCCAACAACCCTTGCTAGCCTTGGGCAGCAAAAGGACTTGGGTGGCTCCCCAGTTTCACCCTTGTGTAGGATAGTACCACGTTCTCTAGATCTTCTGCTCTGGAAGCCTTTGCAAGATCCTGACAACAACAGAACTGTGTTTCTCAACACAAGATGTAGGTTCATTATGGCTGGCAACTGGTGGCAAACTGGAGCGAAGGTCCTCAGACCTTCGATTGGGCCCTGCCCATAAAATAAGGCCGGTGTTCATTTGTGCTCTCCCTGCTTTAAATAATGTTCTTTTCTTTGTCCCAATACCACAGGGCCTACCTGGACTTCTCGGACCTCCGGGCCTCCCTGTAAGTACTTTTCACACCACCATTTACACCTGGATGGCAGATAAGGATGTACAAGACCAAAAAAATAAAACACAACCCATCTAGTTGTGTTCAATGGCCTGTTTCACGTATCATTCGAAACCAATTTGGTGGAACTGGCATGAATCTTGTGCTTGCAGTCAATCGGTTCGCCTTTCTTCCTGAGATGCTGCCTTCAGCATCTGATGTGCTTCCTTTTATACTAACCAGGGTTTTTTTTTTGTTATGTATGAACTTGGGGAGCTGTACAGCTTGTTAAAACAAGACAAGAGCAAACTGGAGACTCTGATTCTTGAGTATTTATTTATTACGATTCCTTTTATTTCTGTGCTGTCTTTCTCCCTGTATGTGGCAGCTCACGCATAGTTGGAAACAAATACAGTTAGAAATTAGCTATAGTATTAAAAACACCACTAAGCTGACAACAGTATTTAAAAACAGACGATAGAAACAATTTAAAAACAAACCAGAATGTCATTTGGGGACATGTAACTTCCCAGGATCAGAAGATGGAGAAGAAGACTATGCCCGTTACATCTAGATTGGGAAAACAGGGGTCTTTCTCTGCTTCTCTGAGATGTTTGCCTCTGCTACGGCCTTGATGTTTTTTGGTGCTTGATTTTTCATCAAAAATGCATTATCCACTGAAGCTGTCTTCTCGTTGCAGGGGCCCTCGTTGTCTGGACCTCCTGTAAGTTGCATTCACACGAGGTTGGGTTATGGGGCTGGGAGGTAGCATGCTTGATGTGTGGTGTATATGTCTGTCTTTCTGTGCATGGCTTTTATTTTACGACTTGCTCTACAAAGCTGAGAGAGAGAGAGAGAGAGAGAGAGGTGGTCCCATCCACTTATGATTCTGGCCTGGCTACTGGTATCACTGAAATACAGACCCCAAGTGATTTCCTGACACTCACCCACTACTGTGGGAACGTGGCCCTCAACAAACACTACACTGGAGCTGAGGGAAGAAATGGAGGGAGCCCAAAGGCTGTTCAACCTGTTTCAACCTGTGTCACTGTGTGTTAGAAAGGATCAGGTAGCAGGCGATAGAAGGCTGGCGCCTCTCTGCTGGAGATTTTGGAAAGTCACTGTGTGACTATGTTAGATAAGTCGGCGACGTGACTCTGGAGCAAGCAACTCCGTGTGTTGCAAAGCACTTAGCATTTTGTTGACCTAAGGAGAATTCCCCCCCCCCCCC